TTTTTTATATATATAAATATTCCCTTTCTCTCTCGAGGACCTTTCATTTTAACCTAGAAATTGAAGATGTGGGCTCAAAAGCAATTGCTGGTCCAAGAATGGCTGGCTTAGGAAATTGTATTGACCCATATCAGTTTGAGTATTATTGTTGGTGTTTGAGAAACTGCAAGAGTTCATGAACTTTTTTGATGGATGCAGCAAGTCCTCGTCAATGTGTGGAAGCTGGCGCTTGAGTTTATTCTCCTGCACGTTTGGCATTGAAGTGTTCAACTGAGGTAACTTTTGAAGAAAGGAACAGCTGCTCGTGCTGTTACTGTTGCTTGCACAGTTGCTGTTACTGAAGAAAGGTTGGTCCAACTGTGTTGCAGTACTACTATTCAATGTAGGGTTTGACTCAAACCCTGTTGGATTGAATGGGTTATCTGCCAGGAAACTACTCCACATGGAAGAGTCCATGGCATCTAACAAGTTGGAGAAAGAACAAGATTGCTGGGACATGAGAGTATTCTTGTTGCTTGTGGGTAAAAGGTTTTCTTGGACAAATTGTTGTTGTTGTTGTTGATGTTCTTCTTCTTCTTCTTGGTCATGTTCACTGGATATTAATGCCCTTGGAGATGAAATTAAAGCTTGGGACTTCTTGTAAATCCGGCAAAGAACCCAATCATCTAACTGCAAAAACAAAAACAACCTAGTAAGACAACTCAAGCTAGGTGGGACATAAGCTAAAAATGACTTGCCCTAAAACCATGACGTCCTCGAAAAAATATCTTAAATCATAACAGAGACAATTCCTTGCAGACACTAATAAGAGCACAACTTGCAATATAATTGTTAATTACGCTTACCCTCATGGATGAATCTTTTGGCTTCATGGGTTTGTTGTTGTTGTTGCGGGTGGGAGTATCTGCTAGGCGATACTCATGCATGATCCAATTAGTCTTGACACCCTTTGGAGGCTTTCCCTTGTAGAAAACAAGAGCCTTTTTAACTCCAATGTTCTCTTGCCCTCCAACTACACCTCCTGGTGCCATTGTTGATGCCATTATGATTTTGTCTGTCCCAGTGGCCTTCCAATATCCAGATGCAGCTGCTCTGTTGGGCCTTGCTCCATTGGGGTACTTGCGATCTCTAGGACTGAAAAAGTACCATTCTTTCTCCCCCAAGGAAGCTTTAGCTGATATAAAATTAACAAACACCGAACACAAGTCCCTAATTAGTAACATGTAATCTGAAAGAGCACAAGTCACTTGTTTTTTAGACTTCAATTGGTTTTAGACATTAATTTTGACAGATAATATTTTAAACTAAATGACATAAGAAAGCATATAATATAGAAAACAAATTAAGCATGGTGTTCGAGGGTATAGGATAAAAAAGAAACCTGGCAAGTCCCACGGATCAAACTTATAGATGTCAACATCTGCTATGATAGACACAGGAAACGGTGTGGATGCCAACTTCTTCCTAAGGTAATGGAGGATGAGCTCCTCATCTGTCGGGTGGAACCTAAACCCTGGGGGCAAGCCTGATTGCGGGTTCTTCATGCCAATCTAAGATTAGAATAATGGACCGCCCAAAATAATAAATAAGATTAGTCTAGGTTGAAGATATATTTTGATATCGATATCAATATATATCAAAGAAGAAGAAGAAGAAACGATTGAACAAGCTGGGAAAGAAGCCTAGAGGTCTTCTAACACTTAAGCTAGGTTTCGATAAGCGAACAAGCTACGAGAGAGACCGAGAGAGAGAAGGAGATTGAAATTTTTCGAAGGAGAGGGTGGGGTGCCAATTTATGGTGGTGGAGGTTTGTCCTCATGTGGAAAATAGGATCAGAACAAATATTTTTTTTTAAAAAGAAAGTAGCATAGTTTAGATTGGACCCAAGCTAGCTGTTGGGGGATTGATATAATTGGTCGCTTCCACTTTTTTGTCTTCAACATTTCATGGAAAGATGGCGGCTTCTTCAAAGGATGTGAGCTCCATGCTTTCATCTCATGACATCATCTCTTAACTCTTTCGGACAAGCACTTGACACGCGTCCTCTGAACCCCTTCATCTGCTTTCCCAAATCTTTATCAAGCCCCTTAATTGGGCTTGATGGTCTCAATCATCCTCTGGCGTAAGTTTATGCATCTCTTGACTTTTTGATCCAAATTTTCGATGGATGGATAGACATCTCCTGTTACAAGCTCAAAACTCGGTCTATGGGGGGGGCCTCTCACACAGTGGAACGCAGACACAAAGGACAAAATGTACAGAAATGACAAAGGGCCACAAGCATGGAGATTTACTGGATAATAGAGGCTTTAACACTCTATGATAGATATTTCTATGGCGATGTGACGGGGTGTTGGTGTGGATAAAAAAAGAGAGTAAGTTCTTTATTGTCTGGTAAAAAGTTATTCTGTGACCTAACTATATGGGCAGCCGACATTAACATTATCTAAGCAAATATATTTGTGTCAATGTTGCTTAAATATCAAAATAAACTGACGAAATCAGCTCATAATTTATTGATCAGTGATTCTGTTAACGTTTACAATGAGACAAGCAACTCCAGTATGTCAAACTTTCTTGCCAAGGACAATATTCAAAATAAATAATAATAAAATAAACTACACAACAAAAAACAAAACCAAAAAGCTCCAAGAACAAACGGACCGTGCTGCGTAAAGTTTACGAAAGAAAAATTGATATTAATTGTTGGCCGTGAAAGAGCACACGCTTGTTCTTTCTTATCCACTTATAATTTCCTGTTAGTCAAGGACCACCACTTAAAATTAACAAAAAAAATAAAAAATAAAAAAAGAACTCATCGTACAATTCATTGGTGGATTCCAATAGTATTTTTATGGTTTCTTTTTTAACTATTTTTTCTTTCCAATTTAGTTTTTTAATGTTATATTGACTGGAATTTAAAATTGATCATTTATTTTTACTTGTATATTAAATGGTTATTAAGGTCAAGAAAATCAACCCGTCATCGGGTTGGTGTGATTGATTTCATTAAAAAAGATTAGATTTAGTTCTTTTTAGGAAACTAAAATGAGGGGATCAAAATTGAAAGAAATGAGAAATACTTGTCCTTTTAATTTTTTTATGAAAAACAATGTCAATTCTAACTTTTTCTCTATTATTTTTTTCAGTCATTATTTTTTTCAATTAAATCCTTTAATTTATTTTTTATATAATTATATAGATCATAAAAACTTGTCTCATCAAGTATTTTTGTGCTCTATTCGACAAAAAAATAATCCAATTTCATTTATTTGTGCTTTATACTGTAGACACGAACCTATTCCTGTAATCTTCAAAGCTGTACTGCTGGGAAGAAGCCTGTGATAAATATGCAAAGATCATGATGAAAATCCTCAGCCCTCCCTTTCATTAACAGTCCCTCATTTAGACCTACTTAGTAGATGAGCATTCAAGTTCGATTTAATTATAGATTAAACAATGAATTATTGGCACGTCAGTATTTTAACATGTTGATTTTATTTCAATTTGAACTACCAATTGAAATCTTTCCTCCCTATTATACTTTCAAAACACAAGTAATTTGACAAACCAGCTTACGGTGTTCAGGCTAGTCAAGGATCTTACATAAATTAACATTTGACAATCAGCAAATCAGAGGGTCAATTCTTAAACAGGTTTCAATCACACGTGTGGTGTAAAAGATAGGTGGGGTTTTGATTTTTTTAGTCATGGTAACATATACCAAACATAGAATCCCCCCTAACCCATTATTTTTTTTTCAAAGTCTTACCAAACACAAAGCAGCTTTGGTCATGGAAGGATCATGGCTCCTTGATTCCAAACATTCATGGTGCTAATGACGTGTTCTAAGTATTATAATAACAAGCACCAACACCACAAATAATCGTTTTCGTGTTCTAAATCATCCGAGAGGTCATTGCTTCTAAATTCGTTATCACTACGGGAGATGGTTTCCTTAATGCAACTCGTAAGGCTGATTTTGTATAATTTAAAGGATATGCCTCGTAGACTTGGAAAACAACAGCATTATCCAATAACAGAGGGTTGATTTTAAACTGTATGTTCTTTGTTTGATAGCAAGAAAAGATATCAGATAATATTATTTAACATGTCTTCAGTAAGGTGAAACTTCCTGGCAACCATTTGCAGCGGAAGAAGTGAGAATAAAAGAAGAAGAAATTGCTGTTCCTAAGGACGGGAAGATGGGGAGGTTTCCATGATATAATGGGGCCAAAAGGGTTTTGAGCAAAAATGAGGTGCCACAATTGGACAAAAGCTGAAGAATGAGACAAGTGGGTGGATGAATTTGATAGGTTTTGGGGAGCATCTGCTAAAGAGTGCATGATTATCCACGATTCCTGATACTAGATGTTTATCCTTGGAATATGCTTTTGTCTCGATGATAGAGTCCACGTTATTGTGTTTTTAACAAATACAGCGAAGCTAAAAACAATAAATAAATAAATAAACATGGAACTTGAAAATTTAATGATAAAAAATTATTACAAATATAAAATTTTAATTCATAATTTTAATCTATCTAAAAAAATAATATTGATAAAAATTATCTCCTTCTAAGGTTTGCAAAACCTTAATTAGCTCATAAAACAAATCTCAACTAAAAAACAAAATCAAAATCAAAATACACAAACAAAATAATCATGAATTCCAAAACAACACATAAAACAAAATAAAACAACAAAATTAACAAAAAAAAGCCGATAGTTAGATTTTTAATATCTTAAAATCTGACAATCCACATATCAACTATTATTAAAAAAACACTACAAATTCCTGTAAACAAATCAAGTTTAATTTAACAGTAAGATAAAAAGTTATAATTTTTTAGACTTTCAGTCTAGTTTGGAACAGTCAAATCTTTTCTTGTATTTAAACATGTTTCACTAATACACAAATATATCTTATATGTTATCCATCTACAATAAATTCTTACCTAACCGCTAAAAATCAACCCTGAATCAATTCCAGCTATATCATTTACCATGAGGAATAAGATTTATGCTTCGAGTTATGTCATGTGTGATGTAAAGCAAAAGTATCAGGGGTTTTCACTTTCTGATGTTCTCTCTCCTTTCCCATATAATAGGTAACTTTATTTTTTTGGACAAGTCATATAGTAGGTAACTTGTTCAGCTAAAATTCACATACCCACGTGCCAAAAATGGAATATAAAAATTATTTTTCTCGCCGTCCCTTGACAGGCAGCCCATGATCTTTGTCCCAGTCGCAGTTTTTGAGCTTTATAGATAGACAGAAGAACAAAGAATACCTAGGTAAAGGCAAAGCCAATATCAGTTGAGAATTTAAAGGTATTCCTCCTGGCTGGTCAATAGGACACCCCACGCTCTTCTGAGTGCCTTGACTTTCAATTAACCTCAAAGGTAGAAACAGAGACGAAAACTCACCTGGTTCGCCGCTCCCAACAAAAGCCAAAATCATCCTTATCTGATCATTATATTGATAAGAAAAGTATTTCATAGGCATTTGATTCCACATCTTTTCATCCAAACATGCATGGTGCGCTGCAGCTTGAAAACATTTGCACTAGAATGACATGTGATTGGTTGTTATCTCCTTGACTGTGAACGCAAGATCGTGATGCACAGATGTATGTTGGACTAGTCAATAGGCATGACAAGCATGCAGTATGAACATGCAATAGCTAGCTGATTTCCATCCATGAAAAGGTCATAGTTGATTATGACCCCTTGTCGTTATCCACGTGTAGCTCACCTAACCTAGCAGCTAGTTGCCACCCCATGTCAAATGTTGAAGGACCGGGTTTCTCATTTGAGCCACAACATAATGAGTTAGGCCAAACATGGAACTCACACGAATCCACAGGTCATGGACTACTCTCCATAACCTTATCGCAAAAATGCTTTAGAGAAAGAAATGGAGAACTTGTTTTCAATATCTATTGGTCCTTGCGCAGAAAACGAAGACCAGAAGCCAGATTTTAACTTCCTGTTGCTACTATGTGTCCTCTGTTCAGCGTCTGGTGTTCCTTAACCTACACTGTTAACAAACAGGGAAGCACGTACAATGATTAGCTTTAGAAGTGTAGAGCCACACACATAAAAGCTCTAAACTAAAGTACACGGATATGAGAAATTGTTGGCTTTAGTTGAAAATTGTTCATTCACCCAGAGGAAGAAAAATGCTACTCTACAACAACTTCATTGTTGCAATTCAAGGGGAAGAAAGAAAAAAGAACACATTGTTCACGCACAGCAAGAATAAACTCAACATAATATTCCAATGTTCCAATGATTAATAACTTCTTAATGAAGGCCTCTATGAAAAACCATGCATATAGTTGGTAAATAGTTCAAGTCTATTATCTCTCCCAACATGTAAAGATCGTAAGATTTAAAACGGAAAGAAAAATTCCAGCGCAACTGACAAGGAAACAACATAAACTGGCCAACAACCTCAACTAAAATGGAAGATTCAACACAAGCAACTATCCAGAATCCGAGCTCTCCTGCAATTCTTAGCAACTAATTTGTGACCTTTTCTTTTGATAAATCAAGGTCAATTTTATCGACAAAGTGAACAATTAAAAAAGAATACAAGTTCCTTCAACAAGCTTTAGTTGATTTAGGTGGAAGCTAAAGATAACAACAAACAAAGAACACATAATCCTTTATGAGCAATAGGGACCATAGATGTGAACCTCAAATTCACAGGTTTTATTCTCTCTAAAATAATAATACTAAAGTCTAACTTCTTAGGAGGTTTACAAGCCTTAAATAAATTAAAAACCTTACCTTAACTAGAAAAAAAAAATCCAAAATTACAAGGATGGAAGCAAGAAATCCGAATGAAGCAGGAAATCTAGAAATAACAAGGAAAATCACAAAAACTACCAAAAACCAAGAGTCTGGGCGAGTTTTTTGATCCAACAGTCAGATAAAAAATTATGGATCTTTCAAGTCATCATTCTGAAATCATTTTATTTTATTTATAGATTACAAACCCATTAAGAAGTAGAAAACCTAGAAATAACAAGGAAAATCATTGTATTTTATTTATGGATTAAAAAGCCAGACTATATCACTAGTAAACCAACTACCAACTCTAGCAACCCAAATCATATTCTAAAATGATCGAAAGGAATTTGCGCAAAGCCAGAGCCAGAGCCAATACAAAAGATTCCCTTTCTCATGTCAGAGAGCATACCGGTGGTTTGGCATTCAACAGACTACTCTCTTAAAACCAGTTGGTATTTGGTAACATGCTCTCACGATGATATTGATGGTGACAACCCTTGGTCAAAAGAAGAGCACTGATATAACTGACTGGCATAATAATGCCACTTCCCACTCAAATGAAAATGAAGTTGATTGAAGCCCCATTATTGAGCCTTGAAAATGACATCCTACAATAGTTTCAGCCAATAGATATCACTCCTGAGTCAGGAATCAACCACACATCTTTAAACTGATATCGGACCTCCTTAATATGGCACCCTACAATACCTTAAATCTATATACGTGGCTAACATCTAATTTGCCATGGAATAGACAAGCGAAAAAAAGAAAAAAAGAAACGAGTACTTTAAAAGTAATTGTATTGGATCAATTTTATCTTTCCCAATATGTAAAGATCAAATATCAATTTAAAAGTAAAGAAGTTCAAACGAGGGGCATGCATACAAGGGGATCATAAAGGAAAACAACTCAAAATATACTCATCTGTTTCAGCTGCTTAGCACACGTTGTTGAAAGCAAATTTTGTGAAGGCATCTAGTATAACATAAATAGAGAACAAAGAATTCACGTAACCTACCTCAACTAGATTGGGATTGGCATTTAGTTGAGTGAGTTAAAAAGTGGTACATGAGTTCATAGAGCTTTCGATGCTGTAAGTTGAGAACTGCTGATTGAGATTTAATATATTAAACAAGAACCAACCGCTCCAAAAAGAAAATCCATTCCCTCTCAGGCTATCACAACTCTTTTAGAGTCGGCTTGTAGGAGAAAGACTTTCCCATTATCAGTTTCCTTAGAGATGGTTCTGGTTTGATTTACTGTCTGACTGCTACACAATTGATCACCTCTTGAATCAGTTATTTGCTTATTAGACAACAAGTAACAGAGCATCTCAACTATCTTCAGTTGTAGCAATAGCCATTATTTGTTTGTTCCAAATCGCAATATTTGCAGGCTACATCCAACTTTCCATATAAAAACTAATATACCAACAAAACAAATGAGCTACGATCAGGACTTGAAACATTTGCATTTCATCTCACAATCTAAACTCATTGACATATTCATGCCATAGACAGAATTTTAGACATGATGTGCATATATCAGTTGGCATCCCATCTCTCTCTCACCTTCTTGAAGAGTGCACACATTTCTTCCCCTGTAATGAGAATACAAAAGAATTCACAGCAAGTTTGTAAATTGTAGGGAGGATGTACCATGAGTCCACAAGAAACAATCCAAAACCCCTTCAGCCTCATCGGCTTTTCGTGCATGGATTATTCAATGAAGTGAGAAAGTCAGAAGCCATCATTGTCATAAGAGAGAGCTTCCCCAAGAAGCACCCTGAGTTAAGCTGGTACACGACATCTTTATCGCAAAAGATCACGTGCTAGCATCTAGCACATTCTTATACCGGCAAAGAGTGAAAAACAGACCGAAAAAACTCAATGTCCCCATATCAAATTTAAGACATTTCTATGAGTAAGAAATGTTTTCATACCTGCAGCAAAGCAATGCACTAAAGTGGATTTGTTCCAGTGATTGGATCTGCAATGCGGGCCTTTTTACAATCTAGAACCGAAGAACCCATTAATGTTAACTTGTAATTCTAGCAATGACTCCAGAATTTCAAAAGCCTAAGCATCAGAAGAAGAAATAAAAGATCACAGAATGGAGCACAAACTGTTTGTGAAAATGACTTGGTGAAGCAAACAAAGTGTTATTTACATGTAAAAAGAATTCAACGAGAAGCAAATTGATAGTTCACCATTTGCTGGAGTGATGGAAGTTGCTTCTTCTTCGCTATCAATCAATGAAATTTCAAGTGTCTGAGTGAAATTGCCTGGAAGAGAGAAGGCATGTGATGAACGGCATTTCAAGTATATCACCTTTACTAGGCCGGATCTGCACTTGATTATTCAGGTGCACTGCAGCCACCACTTCAATTTTTTTCGTGTTGACAACTGTGGGCCTGCTCTCTTACCCATCTATTGTCTCGCCCAGTAAAGATGCTTGTTGTCATTCTGGGCTTTGCCCACCTTTACTTGTCAAAAACCTTCTTTTTTTTTTTGTTTGTTTAGTAGTCGCATATGGGGAATTATGGTTCATGAGAAGAGATAAAATCACATGCCATCTTGTAAAAATAGATAAAAAAAATATTATTTAATATATTTTATTTAAAACAAGTATTCATAATTTATAGGTTCTTTCTCTTGTCGCAATTTGCAGCTCGTGGCAATCATTCTCATGAATCTATATTATTAAGAATAATATAGATAAAAAGGATAATGATTTTTTATGTTTTATCAGTAAAACAAAGGAAAGAAAGTAATTAATTAGTATTTTATTTATTAAAAACTCTAATTGATATCAACCTACGGTTTACTTTATTAAGTTGTATTATTTATTTGTTTGACTTAAATTAAGGTACTATTATATTTTCTAACTGTTAATCTATTTAATATTTAAGAAAAATTCTTCTCAACAAAAATATTTTTATTTTATCAAGTTAAAATCTAATCATTTTAATACAAATACATAAAAAAATAAAATGAATCATTTTTTAGTTAATATCAGGAAAATATCTTATGTATAAGTTCATAATCTCATATATTAAAAAAACAAAATAAAGTTTTTTGGTGTCTTTGAAATGGAGACCAAGTTTTAACAGATAATTATAAACTAGTTATGATATTTTTTGACTGATTCTTGTATTTTTTTTTCAAGGTATGATAAAAATATAATTTTTTATAAAAAATAAAATATGTATGAAAATTCTAGAATATGGTAATACCCAATAAAAAAAGAAATTTTTTTATTTTTTTATTTTTTTGGCTTTGTTTAGCAAAAAAACCCATTTTTCTTTGTAATAAAACCACTAAAATAGGTTTAAGGGGTATTTTTCAAATACATCCTTAAAAAAAAAAACTTTTAATAAAAACATGACAAACCAAAAAGTGTCTTAAACCTTTAATCTAATTTTAGCCTGACCGGATTGATTTAAAATGTTTTGTTCGACCATAAATCAAACAAAAAATCTTGGTTTGACATGAAAGCAACCTAAAAACAAAACCAAATAAAAAAATAGATTATATAAAAAACACAAAAACTAAAAAAAAAAAATTGAACTAAAAGGATCAAATATAAAAAAATAAAAGATCACTAGGAACTCTATAACCCAAACTTAGTAAAGTGAAACCAAAATCAGATTAGATACGATCAAAACAAAGGCATATACATGTTAAAAATCATGCAAATATTAATAATCTACCATCTATTCACTTTGATTATCACATATATATATAAACTCAAGCATGCTATGATAGTCTCTTTTTGAATTAGAAAATATATTTAAAACAACTACTCTATTTTGTTTTTTTTGGAAAGTATTTCCTCTCATCAACTTAGTACCATATATTAGGCTCTTAAACCTTTATATTTGTGTTTTTATTTTTTTAAAATATTTTTCTCTCTTTTTTCTCCATTTTTTTCTTTTTCTTAAATGGATATTTATAAAATTTTGCTAAGGTTTTGAAAGGTCTTGAATTCATTTTTGATTTCTTGATCTTGAGACAAATGTTGTAAACCTTTGATAAGAACCTATTTAGAAGCTTTTGTGTATGAACACACGAAATGAAGGTCGGTTTTGACACTATTATGTTTCAGTTATAAATGACTAAGTTGCTTATTTTTATGTCTTTGTTGGAGTAATTATGACATCATCGTCATCTAAGACCATTTGAAGTTGGTAGAGGGGATTCACACATTTATTTGGATCCAATCTTATGCATTTTAAAGGTTTGTAACTTCACATTCATTCGTTTGAAGTTGCGAACTCGATCAGTCAAAACTATTAAAATAGAGGTTAGTTTATCAAACAACATGCAACGCACATTCTCTTCATGAAGTTTAAATGACTCATCATTTAGAGTTTTTAATTTGGGATTGAAAATCTTTGTTTGAGTCTTTGTTCTTTCAATTTTTTTTAATTGCACTTATAATTACCTTTAAACTTTTAATTTTATACAATTTCACCCTTGATAAGCTCAATTATCAGCCACTAAGTGACCATCTTTTTTATTCTGGTCATTGGTTCTAAATTTGTCCATTGTGACCCTCAATTAATAAATAAATTTTTAATTTTTTTAATTTGGCCTCTAATTTAGTCAATTTCATCCCCTATACCACTTTTTTTTTTCAATTTGGTCCTTGGATTTGGATTTCTCTAATGAAGTCCCTAATTGTCCATTAAACTTCAATATTCATGCAATTAAGCTTTTAATTTGATCAAATTAACTCTTAAAAATTACAATTCAACCCTAGACTTTAATTTATTTCAATTAAAGTTTAAATTGACTTCAAAATTATTTTTTCTTGTAATTAAACCTTGAAAAATTTTAATTGAGTCCTTAAACATTCAATTTTGAATTTTCCTCATCAAATTGAATTTTATTTTTTTTTGTCAATAAGGTCTTAATCAGTTTAAAATATATTGTCAAATTTTACAATCTTGGATATTTTGATCTTTCTCAACTACTATTCAAAAATTCATGGGCATTCTGGTATATTCATCTTACTAATTTATTTTTTTATTTTATTCCAACTGTTTTTTATTTTTATTTTTTGTATTTTCTCTTTTTTTTCTGATTTTTTTTTATTTATATGAGAACTCTAAAAATGGGTAACAATATCTCTTATGAATTTAAAGGAAACGTGTGCTTTAAATTATTTTTTCTTTTAGTTAATATTGGTGATGAGTAGTAAAGCTTTCATTTAATAAAGACAATAACATTAAGAATGAGTGATTTTAAATTATTTTTTTGGGTGACATGCTTATTAATTAAACATTTAGGGAAGTTTGTTTCCACGCTTCCAAATTTTTATCAATACTTCAATTAAATTTTAAAAAATTTAAATGAGAAGACATGGGGCTCTTTTTCCATTCAATCATTAATTTTACAACACAAGACATGAAAAGTAATTTTAATTAGAATAATTTAATATTATCATTTCATGAAATTTAAATTTGTGATCAATTATCATCAAATCTTTAATATTATATCAAAAAAATCATTTTAATTTTTTAAAAATTATATTATTAAATGATACATTAAGAATACTATATCACGTAAAATGAACTATTATTTAAATCTCTCTTGATTTAAAGGGCTGTTTTGGAATGGAGACGATCACTAGGTGATCTAACATGAATATAAAATTATTATTATTATTATAAAAATTATTATTTTTTAAATAAAAATTATTTTAACTTGAAACTTCAATATATTCATCACTATATTATATTTAATTATTTATTTTTAATTAAAAAATACCATGAAAATGATGAAATATCAAACGGTCTAAAGAATAATTTTATATTATTATTTAATAAAATTGAAGTAGAGAAGTGGTAAAATAACTATTTTTCATTACCGGAGGTGTATATATACTTTAATAAGAAAAAATAGGGCATAGAAAATTTAAGAAATTTGGGAAGGGAGGGGTGTTAAGCATTCATTTGATTATTTCTGATTCATAATATGCTGATTTAGATGAAGATTTTCTTCTAAGTATTTCCTAAGCCGATCATATGGTAAAAAGGGTAAATTCCATATATAATGGATTATTGTTACATAAATTATGTATTTGATGTTTTTTTTTAAAAAATCTATTATATAGATGGAAAGATACAAGCCAGATTAGATTTATCCACCTTTTCCATTATTTATTTATTTATTTTCTTTTGAAGCAAATCACAGAGCAGCCATCTTCAACAACGAATTAGGTTTTACAAGGAAGAAAATCTGACATCTTGTAAGACATCAATGCGCAATACAATATTTATTATTTAGATTCCGAACATAAATAACATTAAAATTGTTGCCTTCCATTCAATTTTTCTTACCAGACAAGATCTGCTTACCTCATTTTCACCGAGGATACAAAAACCATCCAATATTAATGTCCTATATAAACCCCCATTGCCTGCCTACGGATTCAATATTGCAAAAACAAGCCTGGAGATATGCCCAGGTCAGTTGGCGATATATCAAGAAATGATGAAAGAAAGCTATTTCTTTATAATTTTTTGGTATATCCTCAAATTGATTTGAGTTTTTTTCCATATGATAATCAATATATTATATTCTTTTTATTTATTTTTTATAATTTGTATCGAGAAAGCCATCGGATATGGAGATGGACTCTGCATGAAGATATTTATACTATACTGTTTCAATTATGCTACCATTAAAACTTGAAAGGGTAAAATTGATTGTATCCATCACATTAATTTGTTTTCATTTGACCCGACACTCCTTCCTTCTCCTTCTTCTTTTTTCAACAATAATATCAAATTTTGCATTCTTTCGACTGCATTTGACGATTTTATTTTGATTTTTCTTTTTTTTATTTTCTTTTTTTTTATCCAATTTGTTAATCTTAGGGTCAAATAATATTTTTTACATGAAAATAATAGTATCATACCCCGCTGAAATGTTTGATGACCAACGAGTATGTTAAAAATACTAAAATACCCCTACAACTATGACTTTAGTTTTTTCAACCAAAATATAATGATAATTTAACTTTATACGAAAAGATAACATTAGTCTCATCCCAAGTTTTAAGAGCTTGGAAAATCCATTATGCAAGTCTATAATGGACTGTGTCTTGATCTACAGTATACTTGCATAGGGTTACCAGACCCAAATTGCCTAAGTCAACTTGAAAAAATTTTAAAAAATATTTGAAGTTTTAATATTTTATATGAGAAAATTAAAAAACAATCCATATAGATAAAAACTAAAAGATTATTTCAAAAGGCTTTTTTATTCCATATTAAAAAGATATTATCTTATCAAATTAAGTTGAAGTATTTATACTAAAAAGGTGTTTTATCCTATATTGCAAAAACATATTTTTCTTGTGAATATAAAGTATATATATTAATGAATTTCAAATTTCATATTAAAAAAATAAAACATTCTTCTAATATTTATATAGTGAACTTTGATGTGGGTTAGTAACCAATTGAAAAGGATGGAAAAAAAAAGGGGTCTCTAGCTAGGGGGAAAACACATTTGAAAAAAAAAAGTCTATCGGGTTTTGTTGGTTTACCCGAATCCCAGGTTGAATTGTCAGGTCAGGTCAAGTCTGATAACTATGCTTAGACAACAAAAAATGAGCTTGAAAGCATTAATTATAACTTATTCATTCCTTTTTTTTGTTCAATAAAACTAGTTAATTGATCCTTAAAATTTAAAAATATAGATTTAGGTTCACTTTTACACTGTTATTTTTTAATATT